ACAAAAGTCAACTTGATGTAGTTAGTAATCATTCAGTATTGCCCTTAGGCTCTACCCTTTCCCAGAAACAGGGTTTCTTTCAAGATAAGCCCTACAGCACCCTGACTGACTAGGATTTGACATGGTGATGGCTGCTCCCATACTCTTGGTGTAGGTGTGTGTGGGGCTCTGATTTTGCACTGTGCAGTCCTCACTGGAGCAAACCAAGCAAGGTACCTGATTATATACAGTCTTGTGTGGGTGTCTTCTGAATTCAGCTACTCCATGCCTCCCAGGAAAGTCTCCATTAGCTTCTAAGATACGAATAAGCTCTTTCAAATCATGCCCTGTTATTCAGAAAAAATAACTCATTCAAGACTCCAAGAAAACTCCTGCAATCAGGGCCCATCAAAATAAAGAGAAATATTTAAGGTGTGTGGCTGTGACCGATTTACCTCCTTTTGACTGTATCATTCTCTTGGGTGTGCATTGTAGACTTGATCCAAAGCCTGTCAAAGCAATAGAAAAATTTTATTTGACCTCAATGGGCTTTGTAACAGGCACAAAGGATCATGCCTTGTAAATGACATTTGGACAGGACCCTTTGTTCACTTCTGGAGAGATTTCTGGTTTAAAATTGATGTTGCACGATAGGAACATGTCCTGTAAACATTTGTGTGTGGTAGTAAGCGATGGTAACATTTAAAATGTGAGAAATTACATAAGACGAGACAGGAAGAATGTTTGCAATAAACAGCTTGAAGAATAATGGTTTATTGTTACAGGAAATTGGACTGGCATCTCTGGGAGCTCCGGATGATTTCATCGAGAAACTCGCTACGGTAATTTAATAAATGAGGGCTCAATTTTCCAAAGCACCCTGTGTTGTCTTAATTCGTCTGCCACTGAAGTCACTGATAGAACTCCCATAGAGTTGAATGGGAACAGAGTGAAGTCCATGATTGGAAAACCCCACCCTGAAACAGTTGCATTAAAGGAAAATAACTTTGGCACCCCTTATTCAAAGTGACAGTTGTGATTAAATACAGAAGCCCAGACAAGATTTCCTCCAGCACAAACATATTGGGCAAGAAAAGATTATATGTTACTACATCCCCACAGGAAATTTCAGGAGGCAGCTTCAGTAGCTGTTCTACCTGCGAGTGTCCCTTCTCTTCCACCCTGCCAGGCAGATAATGTCCTCTGCAGTCAGCGTGGCTTACCTGAATCCTACTTGAGAATACTGAGACCCAGAACTGCAAACTACAAATAAAAACAAGGATATACCTGTGAGATTAGTGTCCCCAGTGCCAAGCCATCTAGGCAAAGCATTGCACCATCTTTGCTGTTTCTGATAGATGGGCTGTTTTTTCTGAGCCAGAGCAGATATCCCTTCAAATGACAGACCAAGAATTCAAGCTAGGCCACACACCATCTTCCTTCAATATTGCACTAACAGCCCGTTCCCTCTCTTGCTGCTGCAGCTAAACACCCTCTATGTGAAACAGGACACAAAATTCTATCAACTGAGGTTGAAACTTCAACTGGATTGGCCAGCCAAAATGACATTTTATTGCTATAGTTTCATTGTTTCTGCTCTGCTGACAAATGCAAGCACAGTAAAACTGCATTTGTCAGGGAACTGAACTGATTTGCAGACACATTGAGTCTAGCACTGTGCCCCTTCCAAGAGAAAAATTTCAGTTTGTGGCGATATTTATTTTATTTATACAGTTGATATTTGACACATGACAACATTTTAAATAGAAATGTGAACTCCAAATATATTCAAATCAAATATGTGCACTTACTGTTTTGATCAAGTAATCATATGTTTCTGTCCAATTTTCTTTCTAGGTTTATTGGTTTACAGTGGAGTTTGGACTATGTAAAGAAGGTGATTCACTCAAGGCGTATGGTGCAGGGCTGCTGTCTTCATTTGGAGAGCTGCAGGTGTGTTCTGTAAAATAACATTTCAAAGATGTTTATAAAATTGCTCAAATTTCTCTTCTGAACGCCTTCAGATCCTTATTCTGCTTCATACTTTGTGCATAGAAGTCACATGAAATGTCATACTTCATTGAAGATCTCTGATCATTGAGTCAGTGTACAGGGGACTCATACCTATTTCTTCCTAGTAAGTGACATTGTCATTGTAATACACAGGAGCAACTCTTTCCGGTCTGAAACTGGGTGGCATTCAGTAGCTCTATCTCTCTTTCACAGCACATTCAAGCATTTTTTAACTGAAATAAACTTCTTACCCTTTTGCTCATAGTATTGTTTATCAAGTAAACCTGAGATTCAGCCTCTTGTCCTGGAGAAGACTGCTGTGCAGAAGTACCCTGTTACTGAGTTCCAGCCTATCTACTATGTTGCTGAAAGTTTTAAAGATGCAAAAGAAAAGCTAAGGTAATCCAGTTGTTCCATATAATACCCAATTTCTTGTCCATTGCCAATACATTGGATCCCATTGTCAATACATTGGATCCTATTGCCATTACAGGTCTTGGGTTGACAGTGATGTTTTGAGAGGCATTAGAAGAAGTTGTGCAATGCTTAAACAGATGAAACAGTTTTTACAGTCAAAATCTTGTTATGGGCAATAAGGGGAACATACCTCATACAGGAAGCCAAGAATTTGTGGTTAGTCTATTTAAGACTTTTATCTGTAAAACAAAAATACAACAAAAAATATTATTAGCCCAATTGCAATGATAGAATCGTAGAATCATTTAGGTTGGAAAAGACCTTTAAGATCATCCAGTCCAACCATAAACCTAACACTGCAAAGTCCACCACTAAACCATGTCCCTAAGCACCACATCTACATGTCTTTTAAATACCTCCAGGGATGCCAACTCCACCACCCCCCCGGGCAGCCTGTTCCAATGCTTGACAACTGTTTCAGTGAAGAAATTTTTCCTAATATCCAATGTAAACCTTCCCTGGTATAACTTGAGGCCATTTCCTCTCATCCTATCGCTAGTTACTTGGGAGAAGAGACCAACACCCACCTCACCACAACCCCCTTTCAGGTAGCTGTAGAGAACGATAAGGTCTCCCTGAGCCTCGTTTTCTCCAGACTGAACAACCCCAGTTCCCTCAGCCGCTCCTCATAAGACTTGTGCTCCAGACCCCTCACCAGCTTTGTTGCTCTTCTTTGGACACACTCCAGCACCTCAATGTCTTTCTTGTAGTGAGGGGCCCAAAACTGAACACAGTATTTGAGGTGTGGCATCACCAGTGCCAAGTACAAAGGGACAATCACTTCCCTAGTCCTGCTGGCCACACTATTTCTGATACAAGCTGGGATGCAACTGGCCTTCTTGGCCACCTGGGCACACTGCTGGCTCATATTCAGCCATCTGTTGACCACGATCCCCAGGTCCTTTTCTACCAGGCAGCTTTCCAACCACTCTTCCCTAAGCCTGTAACATTGCATGGGGTTATTGTGACCCAGTGCAGGACCCGACACTTGGCCTTGTTAAATCTCATACAGTTGGCTTCGACCCATTGATCCAGCCTGTCCAGATCCCTCTGCAGAGCCCTCCTACCCTCTAGCAGATCAACATTCCCGCCCAACTTGGAGCTGTCTGCAAACTTACTGAGGGCGCACTCGATCGCCTTGTCCAGATCATTGATAAAGGTATTAAATAGAACTGGACCCAATACTGGGCCCTGGGGAACACAATTTGTGACCAGCTGCCAAGTGGATTGAACTCCATTCACCATAACTTTTTGGGCCTGACCATCCAGCCAATTTTTTACCCAGAAAAGTGTACGCCCATCCAAGGCATGAGCAGCCAGTTTCTCCAGAAGAAGGCTGTGGGAAACGGAGTCAAAGGCTTTACTAAATTCCAGGTAAACAACATCCACAGCCTTTCCCTCATCCACCAAGATGGTCACCTTGTCATAGAAGGAGATCAGGTTAGTCAAGGAAGACCTGCCTTTTATAAACCCATACTGACTGCGCCTGATCACATGTTTGTGACATGTGATGGCACTCAAGATGATCTTCTCCATAACATTTGCTTGCTCCAACATCAGACTGACAGACCTATAGTTCCCTGGATCTTCCTTCCGGCCCTTCTTGTAGATGGGTGTCACATTTGCTCACACTTAGGGTCAAAGCTAGCTAATTAACACAAAACAAGTCTCTTTATAGTTAAAATTTCTTGTAGAAAAAATCTCCTAGTATCTACTCCTTTTCCTATGAAATTATACTCACCCTTACACTTTCTTTTGCGTCTTATGTGAACAGTTTCAGTCTGGTGGTGGTGGGGTGGAGTTGTCAAATAACCAACATCTTGAGGTCTTCAGAGCAGGGCTGTGATGTTAATGAATGGAGTTTCTTCCTCTCTTTTGTGAGGAGGTGGGTGGTGTTGATGCTTTCTTTATTGTCCTCAGCCCAAGGTTTCCTCAGGGCTATTTTTATGTTTTCTAACATGCTTTACCTTTTGCTCTTTCTACATTGGTCTGCAAATCTGTATTACTTCTGACTTTGCAATTTATGTTAAATATTTTTTCTTTGTCCCTTTTGTTTCCTCTAGAACTGTTTTTTTTTTCCCCTCAACTCCTAAATTTGCTTTACTATGAATAAGTGACCAGTGGGGAGTTGTTGATATCCCAGGGACCACCAGCATCATCCTATGCTCATGCCTGTAAGGCCTCTGTTATCAGCCCATGCTGGCATTCCTTTATGCTGCATCATTACTTTAGGGTCAGAGTTAGTTCACTATGCACAGCCTATATAATTTTTATATATGCCTATATAAAAATTATTAACAATAGACATTATAACACACAGTTATTCAGAATTAAGCAAAACTAAAACAAATTAGGTAATAGCTACATGGTCATTAGACAATTGCTATTACAGTTAAGCAAAACTGCACGCAAGCCGAATAAACCCGATCCTGAGGCCTGTGTGGTTAGCTTAATACAGAGCCTCCAGCTTGTTACCAGCAGTGTGTTTACAAGACTACAGGGCTACACAGTAAATCTTTCAGTCATCTGTGACTGAAACACAGATTCAGTTCCAGTTGAATAAGACTTTGAAATAATGGTCCAGGTTCAGTTCTAGTTCTTGAAACAGGAATGGCTCAGACTGTGTTTGGGGTTCAGCTTGGATTCCACCTCACAGCAATATTTCTATTTCTGTTTAAAAAAACACCACCATATTTCTCGATGTTAACCAATACACTGAGAGTTAGCCTTGGTTCACACTCAACAAATTTTTCATATGAAGATGCCACACAGAGACTTGTCCTAGACCTGCAGTCTCTTCTCTCTCTCTCTCCCCCGCCATTCACAGATAAACTCATACCGAGACCCAAGATATTCTGCTGCCCCAGGCTCCCTAGCTGCACGGTCTTCCCAGCTACCTCCCCTGTGCTTCCTCAGTGATCATAGGCCTGCAGCCTCTCCTTCTGTGCTTTTCTCTGGGATAATACCTGAGAAAGACAACCTTCTCTTCTGGTTTGTGTTATTAATATCCTGCACACAGTTCCTATTGTCTTTTCTGTATAGTTCTCTAACTGAGTAACAAGTTCCTTGAGAAAGCAGAAGATGCTGCCTTACTCTACAAAAATTATCTTGGAGCTTCTTTTATTTGTTTTAATGACCAAATTGGAAAAGTGGTTAAATTGAAATAGAGGTCTAGGAATTGGTCTAGTGACTATGTTCGTGGCTTGCACCTGGACATGTGTGTTTGTGCGTAATAGAAAACCTCCCCAAAAAGTTATTCTCAGGCTGACCTAAAATATTTCAGCTTAAGGCACCCATCTTCATTAGGATCTTACCTTCACCTGAGATTCAGGAAGACTGTCTTCTAATGTGGATCTCTATCCTTAGAAAAACTGGACTGATGCCACTAAACACTTTAATGTTTAATTAATCAATCAACATAATTTTTTTCCGCTGCACCACATTGCGGCCTGCTCACACTGAACTCTCTTTGAGACAATGGCCTTAGCTGACAATAATGAAGACTAAACCGAAGTAGCAATGTGGAGGTGGCGTCCAGCATATTCCACTGTTTTGGGCCTACGGGATTTACCATGCTGAGTCACGGTCTGTATAATGTGGCTCTATAATCAACTCCTGCGTGCTTTCCTTCCTCTTTCAGCAATAACTTCAGTAATGCGAAGCAGATATATAAGCCAGTGTCCTGCTGGGGTCTACAAGGACCCTGGAACAATAGCTCTGACCATCTCATCCCATTCAGAGTCCTCCTTTCCACAGTTCTGTGGTTATGCAAATTGATATTTTCCCAAGACACCAAAATCTTAATGTTTCTGCCATGGAATTAACTATTTTGCAGCAGGGAAAGCTGCAAATAAGAGGTGGCAAGAATGCTGCTTCACTCCATTGACTATCTCCTATCTTTGCAATCACCTGGAAACCACTATCAACCATGTCAGAAGCCAGCACTTTGCTTTCTTCTTGGTATGCCAGGATGGCATAGGTACTTGACCTTACTTTCCCAGAAACTGCAGACTTGGATCAGGATCCCTATATTTTGCATTACGGAAAGGAAAATGAGGTTTTCAAGTTTGGCAAATCTCAATAGCTACATAGTTGGCCTATACCAGGAGCAGTGTTGCCTGCCAATAGCATAATTAGTCCAGCTTGGAAAAAAACAAATGTGGTAAGGACAAATCCAGATTCAAGCATGTTACAGAATGCTGTAGGTCTCAGATCACTCTGCAGGAATTTCAGTTATTTCCTCTTGCAGATTTTCTTATTCCCTTCGTCAACAAACGCACACACCAAGAAAAGCGTGAGTTACTGAAAAAAGGAGCTTTTCAAGTTTGTATATGTTTTTGTATTTTTGCCTCAGGAAATTTGCTCAAACGATCCCTCGTCCTTTCTCTGTTCGGTACAATCCCTACACCCAGAGGATTGAAGTCCTGGACAATGCAAAGCAGCTGAAGAACTTAGCTGACACCATCAATAGTAAGGAACTACAGATCTGTTACCTTTAGTTCCTCAAAACTTGGATCAGAAATAGCAACCACAAAGCAGATTTCTTCTGCTTGCATTTAATATTCTGAGCCTGAGCAGGATCAAGCAGCGCACATCTCCTTTCTCATGCAAAAATTGCTTGCTAATTCTAGCCAAGTTTCAAAATAACATTTCCACTTGACTGCAGTTTGTTACATCTGAAATACCTCATTTTGGTGGAGGAACTAGGAGAGGCCAGAGGGCCTTATGATGGACTCTGATATGTGGCTTCAGCTGTTCTCAGTAAGGAAGAAAAGGAACAGCTTGGCTTTAATCACATTTCCTTTTGCCATTCTAGCCTTTTTCCTGATATGTTTTCCCCCTAACACTGGCTAGCCTGCTGAAAGCCAGCACCCCTGGTTCTGTGAGCCATCCTTGTATGGTTGATAAAGGCAAAGGGCTGACTCTGCAGACCTTCCTCCAGTAACACCTTAGTAAATGTGTCCAGTCCCGCACTTTACTGACCTTATTCTTCCAGGGAATGGATATAAAAGGTAAATATATACAGGAGTGTTAGAAATGGGCTAGCTGTAGGATTAACTGCTCTGATTATTTCCTTTGCAGGTGAGATGGGGATCCTTTGCAATGCCCTCCAGAAGATAAAATGAAGATTTGCTGTAACTTGCTAGTCACTGGCTACTGACTAGAAGTTGCCATGTGCAAATGCCACTATTCATCTAGTCTCGGTGTATTATCTTCCTGTGTACTGCATGAATGCTTATGTTACATATCTTAATTACTATAGATTAGCAGAGAAAGAGACACCTGCAGGTGACCCTTGACTCTTTTGACCTTCAGACACTAATCCATTTTTTCTTACTAATGCATAAAAATTATCTTAGTTCTGGGAATCTGGGGAAAATCTCCACATCTCTTGTGCCAAAGGTTAGCAGAAGGAGATCTCCACCATGCAGAGCTACAGTCTGCTGCAGCTGTGAGGCTGTATTACCACCCTGGGCCCAGGGACAAGATGGCAATGACTAACAGGCTAATCCACCTCACTTTCTCCCACAGTCATCCTCATCCTCCCTTCAGTCCCTCACATTTGTGCAAGGTTCCCATGGAGTCCCAGACGCTACACCTTTCAGAGGTATACATATACTGCTTGGCCCTCTGTACCTCTACTTTTACACACAAGCACCTCTATCCTGATTTTTTTTTTTCCTAAAAATGTGATATTGTCATTGATCCAAAACACAGATGCTAGCCGGAAAAACAACAAGTATGCTGCAGCTTCATTAACAAAGATTAGTCACCATGAATAAATAGATTGTATTTGCATAAACACCAATCCCCAAAAGGTTTGTGCAGGTCACGAATGCTGTATGCTGTGATGTGTCATTGGTTTGCAGAGCAGATTCCTGAAGCAAGGCACTGAGGCTGCCTATCCAGGGCATGGAGTCCGTGCCTCAATACAGTACCCACAAAAAACCTCTCCTAACTTTCTGGACTCACAATACAGAAGGTTGATACCAACACCTTGGAAATGGAGGAGAAATAGATCTTACAATACAGCTGAATACATCACAGCCTTCCAACTCCTAACTCACTGTATCTGTGGCTAGATTCCCCACCAAAACTATGGAAGACCTGGGTTAGCTATGTCCCAGTCTGAGTGCATTCAAACCCAAACATGATATCTTTCAAGACAGCTCCTAAGTCATGATGCTTTTTTGAGCCTCCTTCCTTCTCCTACTTGACCTTTAATCTCCTGCTTTTGGTTAAAGCAGTTTTATTCTTCTTGGAGTACAGCTCAGCTGAAGCACCAAATGGAAGCAAGGGTGATTCCAGCTTAACTCAAATGGCTGAGCCATGGAGAGAGGATAGCTTTGCTGTTCAGAAATCTATTTCTGTATTTTATCCAATAATTTCCACTCAAAGCAGCTAAATGCTGTCTTGGACTGGTCCAATGCCTCCCTGTAGCTCCCTAATTGAAGGAGGAAGATCGGCATTTGTACATTGGAGCTGAATGGAGCAAAACAGAACAGCTTGAAACAATTCTGCATCATGATACTAACATGATTCAGGAGTCACATTTCTGTTAGAAGATCCAAAGATGGAGAGGGATTTGAAAGTCCACAAATCTCATATCTGCTATTGTACTACTCTTCCATTTATAGTTTGAAAATCAATGGAGTTTTAATGTAAGCATCATTCTTTATGAAGATAGAAAGTACAGCTGTTTCCATTATATTTATGGTAGGTAATAACATTAATCTAAGGGTACCAGCTGGAACCCTTTTCAATAGACATATACTTATGCAAAATTGTATCATTTCGGTGCTTTGAAGTAAGCTGTTTTATCTCTGTATCTTTTTTCTTCCTTTTTTTCTCATGACAATGTCTGTGTAGATCTTTCAGTCCCGCTTGGCATGTATTTTCAGTCTGAAAGTACCCCATATTTTTCTTTCTTAATATAATAGGACCCATAAGGTAACTGTGTACCACAAAGAGACAATTTCATCCCAACAGTGAAGTTTTCAAACTAATCTTCAGACAGCTTTCCAAGATCCTGTGCTTCTGGATGTTGTTATGAGTGACAGCAGCAGTAAATCTACAGTGATATTGAGAATGCAGGATTCATGGTTGTCTTTTATGTGCAAGTGGAATGGTTAAAGAGTATTGATGCTACACATCTGATTCTGTGTCACTTAATGCAGGTTTAAATGAGCAATAACTCCAGACAAAGCAGCACAACATAGCTGTTCAGCAAGACTGAGAGATGGGAAAAAGTTAAATGTTCAGTATTTTAAAAACTGAGGAAATGTACTGAAAGTAGATTTTCTTGCAAAAAAAATTAGCTTGGGCATATGTGCTTTAAATAGTACAAATAAGTTGCATTTTAAATAGTACTTCTTAATGGGTGACTTCCTACTTCCATGCTAAAGAATATTAAAGTTGTGTAGCAAGATGCTTTTTGCATTGTCTGGACACTGTAATGCCTCTTTGTAAGATAGCCACATAGGACAATCAGAATTAAATACCTGAGTAGGGAGGAATGCCAATTTGAAGTGGGTTCCAACTCAAAAAAGGCTGGTTGGTACTGGCTGAATATCACTCATCCAGACAAGATCATGGAGCTTTAAAGTGAATCTGATATTAAAAAAAAAATAATCTCTTGATGTGCATAATTGCCTAGAAATGTATAGCAAAGCCTTGATTGCTCTACCTTTGCATATTCCACATCTTTGTGTGTTGCTCTTACTAACCTATCCCAAGCTACTCTTTTAAGGAACATTCCTTTCTCCTATCCCACTATGATCACATTTTTTGATGTCCCTATCTCCAGCTCTGTTTCAGGTGACCAACAAAGCCTTTTCATGAGGCCCCTTTCCTTTGCAGTGACCTTGGCCAAGGTCAGTGATGATGGTGGAGGGAGGAGTTGTCAGCACGGGTTACACAGGGAGGTGGTCTCATCTGGGTGCCTTAAGATGCCTAGATATGACAGCAGCCTTGGAGTAGGGATGCTTTATTCCCCAAAGGATGCAAAAATTGTTGGAAGAGGGGTTAAGCACAAGAAGACTCCACAAGAGTACATTCTTTTAAAGCCTGTCTCTTCACTGCATCAAACCATGCTGGCAGTTGTCAGAAAAAGCTTTTTTAATGTAACTATTTAAATTAACCTAAATAGAAATATTAATGTTGCACCCATCTCAAATGAATAGCACTGTGCTTATACAAGGTGGAAATATTTGCTATGGAACAGATCAAAAATGGACAGGTTGTGGTGATCAGCCATGGCCTTTTAAAGCACATACCCCAGGGGCTGCACAAGAGAGTGTGAGCCTGTTCTTGACATGGGAGATCCCTGCCTTCTGCAGGGAGAAGCTGCCTGTCCCCATAGGAAAGGATGACACACTGTCCTCCAGTCCTTACATAGCCCTTTAAACTGCAGCACCCAACCTGAGGCCTCTCCTCCTGCACTCCTAGAGGTCCCCAAAAGAGCTGAAAGCAGGACTCTGGAATATCTCAGCAGAGCTGACTAACACCATGGGTGAGTGTCGTGGTTTAACCCCAACTGGCAACTAAGCACCACACAGCCATTTGTTCACTCTCCCCTGGTGGGATGGGGGAGAGAATTGGAAGAGTAAAAGTGAGAAAATTCGTGGGTTGAGATAAAGACAGTTTAATAGGTAAAGCAAAAACTGTGCATGCAAGCAAAGCAAAACAAGGAATTAATTCACCACTTCTCATCGGCAGGCAGGTGTTCAGCCATCTCCAGGAAAGCAGGGCTCCATCACACGTACCGGTTAATTGGGAAGACAAAAGCTGTAACTCCAAACGTCCTCCCCTTCCTTCTTCTTCCCCCAGCTTTATATACTGAGCATGACATAATATGGTATGGAATATCCCTTTGGTCAATTGAGGTCCCAGCTATGCCTCCCAGTTTCTTGTGAACCCCATCCTACTTGCTGGTGGGGTGGTGTGAGAAGCAGAAAAGGCCTTGACTCTGTGCAAGCACTGCTCAGCAATAATGAAAGCATCCCTGTATTACCAGCACTATCTTCATCACAAATCAAAACCACAGTCCCATACTAGCTACTATGAAGAAAATTGACTCTATCCCAGCCAAAACCAGCACAGTGAGGCCTTCCTGGACCCATCCCAAGCATGGATTCAAGGTCATATTGCAGTGTCCACTGGCTCGGGAAGGACATTTCACCACCTGGAGAGCCAGGGCTCTCTGTGCTCATTCTGCAATGATCTGCAAATCTGTGGTGCAAGCTCTGCCTATACTGCTTCAGCTGTTACACTGGTTGATGAGTCCAGTCTGGCTCTATAGAGAAACCTCAATTCACAGAATCACAGAATCATTAAGGTTGGAAAAGATCTTCAAGATCATCAAGTCCAACCATCAACCCAGCACCACCATGCCCACTACACCATATCCTGAAGTGCCATGTCTACATGTTTTTTGAACACTTCCAGTGCTGGTGATTCCATCACCTCCCTGGGCAGTGCATTCCAATGCTTGACCACTCTTTCTGTACAAAAATTTTTCCTAATATGCAGTCTAAACCTCCCCTGGCACAATGTGAGGCCATTCCCTCTCATCCTATCGCTAGTTATTTGGGAGAAGAGACCAACACCCACCTCACCACAACCCCCTATCAGGTAGTTGTAGAGAGCGATAGGATCTCCCCTCAGCCTCCTCTTCTCCAGACTGAGACATATGGAGGACCATCATGCTTTGCGCTCTGCAAACATGTAGAGATTGGACAGCCAAGCTCAGAGAGTCATGGTGAATGGAGTTAAATCCAGTTGGCACCTGGTCACAAGAGGTGTTGTCCAGGGCTCAGTTTTGGGGCCGGTCTTGTTCAATATCTTGATGATCCGGATGAGGATATTGAGCGCTCCCTCAGTAAGTTTGCAGATGACACCAAGTTGGGTGGGAGCGTTGATCTGCTGGAGGGTAGGAAGGCTCTGCAGAGGGATCTGGACAGGCTGGATTGATGGGCTGAGGTCAACTCTATGAGGTTTAATAAGGCCAAGTGCTGGGTCCTGCACTTTGGTCACAATAATCCCATGCAATGTTACAGGCCTGGAGAGCTGCCCAGCAGAAAAGGACCTGGGGGTGCTGGTTGATAGCCAGCTGAACATGAGCAGGCGGTGTGCGCAGGTGGCCAAGAAGGCCAACAGCACCCTGACTTGTATCAGAAATAGTGTGGTCAGCAGGACTAGGGAAGAGATTGTGCCCCTTTACTCGGCACTGGTGAGACCACACCTCAAATACTGTGTTCAGTTTTGGGCCCCTCA